TCTGCGTTGGCGATCAGAAAGAAGGGGCTCTGGCTCTAGGCTAACTCGCCCACTGTGTTGTCCCCCGCCCCACCCCACCCTGTGGTGCGTTGCGTCTGCTTGCGCACGTGACACATTCACTCCACCTATTAGAGCATTGTGACCTCTCCATCCCGCACCAGAGAAGTGAGAGGCATTCTAGTGGTAGGCCTAGGTAATCTAGACTAGGTTGGCCTATCCGATGCGTTCTGCTCGTCTGCCCATGCCACACCCTCCCCACTCATTCGCCCCGGCCTTCATTGTTGGTTCGCGTGGGCTCTCCCATTCTTTTTTTTCGCTGGATCACCAACAACTTTCTCAACTGGCGAGGTTTTATATGTTTAATTGGTCTGTGCGCTGTGCACAGCAGCAGCAATATCCCGTTATAACCGACCCGCGTGACTCTCTGATTGCGCAATAGCAGTATTTTATTCACAAAGATAAAGAAGGGAAAAAACGAGGTTTTAGAATAGTGTCTTTATAACAGACTTTTCATTATTTCAGGACTCGTTATAAGTGGACTCCACTCCACTGTAATTAATAAACTGACAAAAAGACACATGTACATACAAAACTGACACGTTCTTGTTACTCAAAGTTACTGTGAACTTTTTGAAATTATTCAGGTCAGCTGAAAGAAGACCCTTGCTTGGTCACACGCAATGACTGCGATTCTTATGGGTGTTTTCAATTCAAGTATCAGTAGTCTCCGCCTAAACGCACGCCATACAAAAGCACGCTCCGCTCAAACGCACGCTTTCGTCATCTGACGGGTTTTTTTACTATATAATTCAGACGTACAAACGCACGGTCACTCCCTATAAACGCACGCTCCGATCGGCGAAACACGCCGACAAGTTAAGCTTGGCAAGGGGTAATTTTCACTCCAACCTGCACAGTCTGCATAAGACAAGCCTAGAATTTACTAGAAAACCGGATATTTGGTGAGAGTGCCCCTCACGCTGTACAAAGAGAGTGATGGACAGCGTTTACACACCCTACTACTTTCCACTGACGCATAGGTCTCGCGGTCTAGGGCTGGTCGGATAAATGTTAATGTTGGGGCGTAAATGCTGTCATAAAACACTAGACAGGCATCTATAGGATTAAAGATTGGGGGGACTAAAATGTTTTTTTATTGGTCACTGGAAATGTATCTTTGAGAGAAGGTTTCTGCCTGGTGTTTGAGTTTGAGTGACTGCGTGTAATGTTTAGTTAGATCTAGGCCTGATGCGCGACATGCATAAATGCCGTAAAACACTAGACAGGCCTCTATAGGATTAAAGATTAGCCAAATAAGCCTAATAAGCTGCGCTCGAAGACCTTATAACGTACAGTAGTGTCCGCCTAAACGCACGCCATACAAAAGCACGCTCCGCTCAAACGCACGCTTTCATCATCTGACGGGGTTTTTACTATATAATTTAGACTTACAAACGCACGGTCACTCTCTCTAAACGCACGCTCCGTCAGCGAAACACGCCGACATGTTAAGTTTGACAAGGGGAATGATAAATAAGTATTAGATCTATTTTATTTGTACGTGTTATGTGTGATGATCCAGGTGTAGTTATCGATTGTTTAGACCAGGATAGAATTCGTTGTGGGAGAAAAAGGTTCACAGATTAAGGTTAAAGACTCATTGTCTAGGGTCGTGCTTTTTCGTTGGGTTCGAGGCTGCTTGTTTTATGGTTCGAACAGTATTGGTACAAAGTGATTTATTGATTTCAATGAAGGAAAGAATGGGATTACTTTCGCTTTCCACGAGTCCTCACTCAGTGAAGAAAGTTGTAAAAGTAAAAAGTTAACAAGACCAAAAACACCCAAACAACTGGGGGTAATTAAAATTTGTTTTAGTAAGAGTTTTATGGCACCGCAACACAATAAGGTCATATTGGTGCCAAAGATTTGATTAGAAGCATTACAAGAGAGTAGCAAACACAACAAAAAAAGGATGACAGATGTTTATTAAGAAAGAAGGAGCAAACCACACCAGAACATCCGCCAACTATCCACTCAATTGGGGAAAAAAGTAGATCTTTTAGGGTTTTTAAAGTTGTAGTAGAGATTTTACGGCGCTCGCAACACCATAAGGTCATATGAGCGCCAGAAGATGAGAGCTGTTACAACAGAGTAACAAACATAAAAAAGAAGAAGGGGAGATAAGTTCGATAGGAAAGAAGAAGCAAACTACATCAGAGCACCCGCCAACCACCCAAAGTAGATCTGCTAGAGCGATGTCCAAGTTTTAGTAAGGTTTAACAACGCTCCCAACTGCATGTTAGTCTAGTTTTAGTAGAGGTTTTACGGCGCTCGCAACTGCATAAGGTCATATGAGCGCCAGAGGATTAGAGGTGTTACAAGAGAGTAACAAACGTAAAAAAGAAGAAGGGGGGATAAGGACAATAGATGCTTGATAGGAAAGAAGGAGCAAACCACACTAGAGCGCCCGCCAACCACCCACTCCCAACTGCATGAGGTCATATGAGTGCCAAGGGGTGGATGTCAACAGAGAAGTCTACACAGGGAATCAGGCTTACACTGCTCACCTCTCTAGCCTCAACAGCACAAAGTCTGCTTCGACTATCAAGGCACCCCGGAAATAGCAGTTCACAAGAGAGTGACAAACATACAAAAGAAGTAGAGGGAAAATGACGATAGTAAGGATTAGGAAAGAAAAAGCAGCAGATGTTGAAGTGGAAGCACCCCCACAAAATAACTAACACAAATGAACCAAAATACACTGCTACATTCAACATTTATTGAACTGGTCAAAACTAAATAATACAGTAAGAGGACGTACAAGCCTTAAACACTCATATAAAGCGATGAACCAACATTTTCAACCCATTTTATGGGAACAAGCTAAACGACTAGTATTCACCAAAATAATTCCAGAGACGAACATGCCAATCTGTAGTAATCGCTATCAGTTACATGAACATTTGTAGCTATTTTTCGGCTTAAAAAGAAGAAGGGGAGGGGGGAGCAAGACCCACAAATCACAGCTCTATACTCCTTGAGCCCTATGCAGACATACGAGACCATGATTCTACTGACCCAATTGATCCAATACCCGTACTAGAAAGTCTGGGTCTTCCTACGATTCCCCCCTTTTCTATTATGTCAGAAGTTCAAAAATATTCTGGGCCTTTCAGACAACAAAAATGTCCACATAATTTTGGGATAAGAAAACTCCAAAGATGCGTTTTCTCAGATCTTAAAATTGATATTGTTTACACACTAGCTATGTACTTCAACACTCCGGTTTTCTTCTGAAACCACCCACTGGCCTCCCCAACACAAATATTCACTTCTGTATTTATGAAAGCTACTCTTAGAACAGAACCAAAGAATACTCTGGGTAAATGCTCTGGTTATGTCTCACAATCACATTTCACACGGAACATTTTCATGCCAATACCTAAACTTTGCACATAAATGACAGTAATGATAAGATCATCTGTTGCAGAAGAGGGCAGAACAAAATTTTTTGGAAACTGGTAATATAATGAGCATTTGGTCTGCAGATCACAAGAGAACAGACACAAGACAAACACCTTTATTGTCTTTTGTCTGAGGAGAAAAAAACTGAGTCAGATACCACTACCAATTTGCTGTAACTTTCTCATACAAGGTGTTTAGGAGACTTTTCAAATCATGACATTCATACATCCCGTTTCTCAGGCCATCAGGAAAACAGACCTAAAATTTAGCCCGCCCTATCCTTTTACAAGTGCACTTCTTAACTCATTCGCTACGCCGAGCCGTGGGGGGCGGCGCGGCTAAAGTGCCGTCAGTACGCTAAGCCGCCCCCGGCGGCTCGAGAACCGACGTCCAATTTTAGCTTGGTTTCTATTCGAATCCACATATCCATGTTAAAATAAAGGTCATAATATAAAGTTGACTTCCGGGTCAAGCGTTTCCACCGAAAATCGGAAGGTTTGATTCAGTTTTGAAACACGATTTCGAAGTTAATGCGACATTGTTTTATCACGAAGCCCAAATTATAGCCCAGACACCAGTTTTTAGTACTTTTACACAACAAATGTAAAATTATTTTTCTCTCTAAAGAAGTGTAGGACTCTTCTTTATAATATTGATACTACTGGACTCAAATTGCCAGTGCACTGTAATTGAGAAATCAATATTTTTGAGTGTTAGATCTAGATCTAGGCCTAGATCTAGATCTAAATAGTCAAAATATTTTTTTTCTCCCCAAAATCACTACTTTTTGGTGAATTTACTCAAAAAGTACCACCCAATACATGTATAGGTTTATTCCAAATGCAATTCTGAATAATTCCATATATAAGATACGAGTATTTCTTTCAATTAGGGTCCTTTTTTCAAAATTATTCTTTTTCGATATCGGAGGTTATGATCGAAATGTACAAATATTATGGAATGTATGTAAATAACTGCTCATTTTTCAATATTTTCCTGTTCTATATACATTTATGGTTATTTTGATGTATAATTTAACTTGGTGCAAACATATTTTTTGAGTTTCATCTGAGATTATACATTTTTTGTTTTCAAATTTTATCCGCAGCCAATCACAATTGTGTTGCATAATCGCCTCTGACAGGAACCAAAGTTGAAAAATACTCAAATAAACAATACAGATGTATTCTACAAACCATACTGAAAATGTTGGTATATAATATGTTGATATTTATTTGAATTTATGGCCCCCCAAGACCTGTGAACTGCGCACTAGTCATCATCTCATTTCGCCCTCCCGAAAAAAATTCGCCCACAAGCCGAAAATAATACGTAGCGAATGAGTTAAACGAGTAGGGTGTCCCAGAACTAAAGTTGTCCATTAAAAAACAACACAGGCTAAGAAGAAGCTGAAACAGCAATCACAGACATTCAAGCATAAAAAAAACTTGCTCAGCCTCTTCTCAACCACAACAAGCATGATACACAAAAAGTCCCAGCTTACTATACTAAGACATAATGTAGCATAGCGCTTCTTTGGAATGCTTAGATACACAAAAACACTGAAGAAATACACTGGTCATATCTCAACTTTCACATTTAATCAACTTGCAGGACCTGGGCTATTAGTAGTCAGCCGACCACCTTGGCCAGATTGTTAATAAAAAATATTTTTTTGCAATCCATGAACCAATGCAAATATAATTAATGCTTGAAATCAGCATTCGGCGCAAAGACTTCTGTCCTGATATAATATCTATCTACATTACACAGAGTTCAGTAAGTCAAGAGAGACACTTGGAAAAACACAATCACATTACGAACGTACGACATCACAAAACTGGGAGAAAGAAGGTATCGGCAGAATGTCTGTCCAGCAACATCTAATCAGCCCCTGGGGTGTGGACCGTGATGGTCTTGCCCTTGGGATCATCATATCTGTCCATGATGGACAGGTTGAGCAGCATCATGGTGCCACCCAGCAGTATGGTCAGCAGCAGGGCCACGGGGACAAGTCCCATCCAGATACCAGAGGTGAAGAAGCCCACACAGTCCACTGAATTGTAGAAGCGGTCGTTCTGGATATGGAATGGCTGGAACTGAGAAAAGAAACGAGGATTTCAATTAAGCTAGATCAGACAACGAGTCATTTCTCTTAGCTGAGACAGAACAGGAGCAAAAAATACGAAAGTCTGTACACACCAAGAAATAGTATAGACACTATACAGTGGAAACCATATATAACAGGCCCGGTAATAACAGGGATTTTTTAAATCCCCGTATTTTCCTACTCTTTGTCTCTATTAAAAGGTATCGGCAATAACAAGGCCTCATCGGAGCCCAACCGCTTATAGTAGGGAAAAAGGCTCGTTAACAACGTGTAAAAAGTGTGTGTGTGTGTGTGAGAAAGAGAGAGAGAGAGAGAGAGAGAGAGAGAGAGAGAGAGGAGAGTAACGCAGTGATGGAGCAAGCTTACGCAAGCCATGCCACAGCTAGCACACGCAACTTGTGAAGCGAGAGAGGGCTGCGGTGTGCTGCAGACCTCGATCTGGCCAGAAACCTAGCAACACGGACGCGTAATGTGTCACCAACGATGTCAATCGCAAGAGAAAATGCCTTTCAATTGACAAAAAAATACGAAACAATCCAGGCGGTTGACAAAAAGCAAGCTCCACTGGCAGAGATTTTTTGTCAGTTCAACATTCCACAAGGGTCGATTCACACCGTTATTAAGCACAGACAGAAGATAGTGGCAGCATACTGCAATGGGAAGTTTGCTCTGGATGGAAAGAAGATGAGACTACCCGATGCAGATGCTGTGGACCAAGCTCTACTGATGTGGTTTGAGGAGGCAGGGAGAAAGTTTGCGCAAAAACCCCTGTTCGTGGGTACCTGTGGCAAGGGCAACTACCCATGAATAAGTACAGCTGGATTAGTCCATAAATGTTTACTTTCCGGGCATTTCTGATTTAACAGGGATCGGATATAACAGGACATTTTCTCTACTCCCACCATCCCTGTTATATCAGGTTTCCACTGTACTTTCATCAGCTTTCGTATCGCACACAAAAAAGTGTATTGATTCTTTCTCATCCTTCGCAATTCTTCTGAGTGCAGGTCAAAGCATTAAAAGAATTTTGTTAATGATGCAAACACTACAAGAAGAGAGAACATTCATAATAAAATATTAACAAAAACAGTACAAACCAATTAATATTCTTTAAAAAAGAAAAAACATATACATATAGTTTCATAACTTCCAAAGGTCATTTTCTGTGGATTGGCCTACCATAGCTGATTTTTATGCCATACTTATTAAAAGTATATTCTGTTGATAAAAAAAATAATGGGTCAGATCAAAGGATAATTTCTTCTACTCCTACAAAGGTCTCCTTATGCTAATATCAGGAAATCCACACTCTTTGAAACTAATATTCGAGGAAGCGAAATTGTCAGAAGTGTAGATATATATGCATTTAGGTGAATATGATAATGGTAAAATACATTATTGTAAAACATATTTTTCTGCCGGTGATTGTAGTGCAGAGGTCAATAACCCATTCTGTTTCACGAAGTTTTGAATTCGAGTGGAGTTTAATTTTCTTTTCGTATTTAAAAAAATATTTTTTCTCAGCCTGTTGTCCAGACAAGGGACTTAACTCATGCTCTGCCTTCAAAACAATGTATACTGTATTTAGTAGTGAGACAATATGCTTCATCAACAGTAAAATCACGACAAGAGTTATCTAAGCCATCTTTTTTTCGTTCTGTTTTTATAGAAAATCCATACCTGGAAACCAGTGAATTTGACATAAGTTCCCTTGAAGTATGAATACTCATTGTCCAAGGCGTCAAGGAACAGTTTCATCGATGTGCAGTGGAATGAGTACAGGATGGGCACTTTAAAGTCCAGAGCTGTATTGATGAGGCTCCCATTACGAATTTCTGTTTTGTTCTCTGCATCAACATTCTCAGTATCTACCAACCTCAGTACAACCTTCAAGATGTTCCAACGGTCTTTTTGATCGATCACCTCCATTCTGTGAAAGAAAACAAAAGTGTCAAGAATATATTTCTTCACTAAGCATAATCAACGTTGTCAGAAGACAGTGCATCAACAGGTAGCGTAAAGTCGCAAAACTGTTTTGTTTCTTACAAATTTGAACTTTATTATCTAGTTATTTCACAAAGTTAGCTGTCCACACTTGTGAAGGAAAAAAAAAAGACAAAAACTTTCAAAAATTTAGTGAACAACAAACTGAACTCTTTTCAACATTTCTTTTATGAACTGCTATATTTCTATAGTTACCTTGGAAGACCAAAACTGTTTTCATGTGCTTATTTTAATTTCTAACAGTCGTTATTTGTAGCAGACACTACTTTAACTTAATGTCATAAATTTGATACGACTGATGATCTTGTAATATGTACCATCAATTAATCAGGTGCACAACAGTCAGAGCAGGAACTGATGTCCCTGATGTAATATAATGGTAAGGCTCTTCATTTTAAAAGCAAAGGATGTAAGTTGGATTCCAGGAAAGATATTGAGTGCTCCGTGTAAGACTCCATCGTATGTCACTTTTTAAAGTGGCATTTGATGGAGTCTTACACTAAGCAGTCAATATATTTAATACAACATCCCTGTCGTGTCATTAGGGTGTATACTTTAAAGCCCATGTTGTCTCTAACATACAAGGTCTTGGCAAAATACCTTCTCAATGATTTTAGGGTGTGTCAAAGGGAAGGAAACAGAAATTAATAAAACGCTTTTACAAATGTGCAGAACAGCAGCAGAAAAATCTTCTCCATAAAAAAAACAACAACAATACGAGGGGGGTTCAAAAAGTCTGGTCTAAATATGAAGGAATAAAGATAGAGCTTTGTAACTTGGCACACATACTTTCATTTCTCTACATAGTCACCATGCAGAGTAACACATTTCTGCCACCTCTCTTTGAACTTCAAAAGTCCTTAAGAAAACCCTAACCAGTTTTCCACAGCTTCAATGGCGTCCTCGTTGTCATGGAAACGACATCTTTTCGGTGATTTTTTATGATTAGGAAACAGAAAAAAGCCTGAAGGCGACAGGTCTGGTGAATAAGCTGGGTGTGACAGGATTTCAAAGCTGCACTGTCTGTTGTGTCCTGTGCGCAAGGGCGTTGTCATGCAGTAGGAGGACCCCTTTACTGAGTTATAAACATTTTTCTCACCAATTCGGACCAGTTTTATCACCAAACCCGAATAGTAGTCCCCTGTGACTGTTTTTCCATTTTCCAGGTAGTCAGTCATGAGGACACCTTCACAATCCCAGAAACACGACAGCATGACCTTTCCACTTGACAGTGTTTTACCTTTGCCCTCTTTGGTGAGGAAGAAGATGGGGTTTTCCATTGAAAGGAGGACATTTTTTGTTTTGAATCAAAATGATAAATCATGTTCAATCCATAGTCAGCATTTCAAAAAAGAAATTTGTGTCATTGGACTCAAGTCGAAGGAGAGTTTTGCAGCTTTTTAAGCTCACTTGTCAAAAGGCTGGGTACCCACCACGCAGACACCTTATTCATGTTAAGATGGTTACGAAGAATCATTTCAATTGACCCTACACTGATTCCCGTTTCACTTGATAGCTGTTTAACAGTTATATGTCGGTCTTATAAACCAGTTTCTTCACCATGGATACATTCACTTCAGTTACCACAAAGGATGGGCGCCCTTCATGATCTTCATCTATCACCGAAATGAATCCAGATTTGAATGTTATTACCCAGTACGTAACAATATTATAACAAGGACATTTGTCACCATAAACTTGGACCATTTCCTGAAAAATGCTCGTAGGGGAATTTCCTTGCAAGTGTAAAAACTTGATAACTGAGCGATATTCAACAGGCTCCATGGCACAGCTTCAGCAAAGAAAAACCAAAAGTTTTTGTGTATGGTTTCGTTGAACATGCCGATTTTATCTCACCAGCCGTCAGGCTCTACGGTGAAACTTGAGAACCGCGGTACCGGCCGCTGGTCAGTTCGCTGGTTACCCCCGCGAAAGTCAAACGTGTTTTTCTAGCTCCGCTAGCGCTACGTTTATCCACTATTGTGTACGAATTCTATGTTCTCTCATGGATATAATTCTCGGTCATTGGATCTTACCAGTTTCCAAGTTCACTGAGGTCGTAAGTTTTTACAAACTTTTTAATTAATTTATCAATATCCCCAATATTTCAAAATACCACTCTTTGTCATCAGCATAAAACCATCAGCAACACTGGACCTACGGTTTTAAAACTTTCAGTACCCAATACGACAGAATTACTTTGAGTTGACAATGGCATCTGGTGGTGAACTCTCTACTAAGTTTCTTTCAGATATGGAAGATGAGTTAGTACATGTTGCTGAAAGCGCTCAGCGCAAGGTCGATATAAATGACACCGTCCTGGAAGCCTTACAGGCCAATACAAAAATCATGGAAGATATGAGGAAAAAATTAAAAGCTTTAAAGCGAAAGAAGCGTAGCCGATCGCTGTCTTCCTCCGAAAGTTCCACCAGCCGCTCACCTTCCCCGCCCTAAAAAGAAGGCGAGGCCTACGGCAAACGCCAGTGACAGCTCCTCGGACACGGATGAGTGGGAAAGCCATGTGCGAACAATCGCCGATGCTGGGAAGGTCTCCTCGGGGAAACCTGATCCTTTCGAGGCCGCCGAAAAAGAATTCGGTAAGGACGAAGAAGATGGGGAAACTTTATCCCATCAACTGGCGAGTTTCATTGAGAAAAGGTTTTGCGGCGGGGCAACGGACAAGAAGATAAAATCGAAAGCGGAGTCTTACAAGCGTCCTGGGAACTGTCAAGTGCTTACAGCACCAATGACAAACCCGGAGATTTGGAGAACACTCCGGTCTCACGCTAAGCGGACGGATGTGAAAATGAATGTGGCCAAGGCTACAACCGCTATCGCACGATGTGCTGATAATATTGTGAGCAACTGTGTGGGGGAGGGCAAGAAAATGTGGAATAACCTCACGGACGCAATGGTCTTACTAGGCCACACTCACAAATCGCTGTCTCAACAACGCAGAGATTTGCAGCGCTACGCGTTTCCTGTTGACCTCAGGGCACTCTGCGATTCCACTACGTCATCCAGTACTACTGCCAATGACTGGCTATATGGAGACGACATTAAAACAAGCCTCAAAGAGGCAAGAGAACAGAGGCGCCTCACATCATCCCTCCGGGAAGGCCAAAAACCATATTACCACAACCAGGGTAATTTTTAAGGCCGTGCGCGAGGGGACAAGACGAAGCAGGCCCCTCGCTTCCAGTACAAGAAAAAGAAGTACCAGTACCACCAGGCTTAAAGCCACAAACGGTTGGTTCCCTTTTCTCCGATTTGGGGGCAGTTAAAATGTATTTAGAAAAGAAAAAAGAAAAATTTCAAGGGGGACTGATACAGTTTTTTGTCAGAGCATGGGAACAAATCACTAGTGATCCGGTTAATTTGCAAATGGTTCAGGGAACTCGCGTTGAGCTTGCCATGACACCTGACGTGAAAGGCCAAACAAAAAATCAGGTCCCAGGAGATCAGATTCCAAAAATGGATCAAGAGATAAATAAATTACACTCCATGCTGGTATTGGAGGAAACAGTGACTAGCCAACATGACTTTGTTTCAGGCATATTTGGCAGAGAGAAAAAAGATGGCTCATTGCGATTAATTCTGAATTTTAAAAAGCTGAATGCATATGTCGAGTACAGGAAATTCAAAATGGAAACGTTTAGAAACGCATTAACAATCATAACACCGTCATGTTTCATGGCAAGCATTGACATTCACCACGTTTACTTTAGTGTCCCAATTCCGCCCCAGAACCGCAAACTTTTAAAGTTCAAATGGAAAGGCAAACTGCTACCCTAATGGTTTATCTCAGGCACCACGAAACTTCACAAAGCTGACAAAACCCATCTATGGGCCCTTACATAAAACGGGCCACATCTCCACTGGATTTCTCAATGACTCCCTGCTCATAGGCAAAACAAAAGAAGCTTGCTTCTACAATGTACGAGACACAACAGCTCTTTTTGACAAGCTGGGGTTTGTTGCTCACCCCGAAAAATCTGTCTTTGAACCAAAACAAACAATGACATACTTAGGGTTTATAATTTCATCAATAGCTATGACTGTAACTTTGACAGAAGAGAGGAAGACAAAAATCCTACAATGTTGTCATGATGTCTGCAAGCAGCCATCTATCGCAGTAAGGGAGCTTGCTTGCCTTATAGGTCAGTTGGTTGCAGCATTCCCTGGCGTAATGCATGGGCCATTATACTATAGATCCCTTGAACATGACAAAAAGAGGGCATTGAGAAAAAACAAGGGGAATTGGGAAGCCTCTGTATCTCTCTCCCAAGAGTCTAGAGATGAAATCCAGTGGTGGATAACCTCCTTGCCTAATGCCTTTGGTGCAGTAACACATGGTAATCCAACAATGGTTATCACAAGTGATGCTAGTTCTTCTAGCTGGGGAGCTGTTTGCGATGGTGTGACTGCCAGTGGACACTGGAAGGCCAGTGAAAAAGTAACATTTCATATTAACGAATTAGAACCCATGGCATCTTTCCTGGCTTTACAATCCTCTGCAAAAAATGAACGAAATTTGCATGTGAAGTTGTTACTCGACAACACAACCGCACTCCAGTGCATAAATATAATGGGCTCCCAAAAGTCACATAAACTGAATGCACTGACTAAGGACCTCTGGTCATGGTGCACTGTAAGAGGTATTTGGATTAGCGCTGCTTATATACCAGGGCATCTGAACTCTGAAGCAGATAGAGAGTCAAGGAAAACTAACATGGACTGTGAATGGATGTTGAACCCAGAGCTTTTGACACATGCATTAAATTTGCTGAGCTTTACACCAACCATTGACCTCTTTGCTTCGAGAATAAACAGGCAGGTCGAATGCTATGTCTCATACAAACTTGACCCAGAGGCCTTTGCCATTGATGTCTTTACTTTAAATTGGCTAGTCTTGGACTTCATTGC